GTACCCGGGGGCGGGAGGCTGGACCGGGACGGCTCTAAATTGGCTGGAGGGGCCATCGGTGGCGAAGTTGCTAGCTGGGGTCGAGACGGCCACGCGGTTGCACGAGTAAGAGAACCCCCTGTGGAGTGCGTGAGACGAGGAGTCCGGCGTCCCTGCCATCCCCGTCGCCCTCCCCGCCTTCCCGGCCCTGCTCTCACCCCCTTTGTACCCCCCGGTTCGCTTCCGCGGCACTGCGGGGTCCCCTCAGCCCCCACTCTGACCCTCTCGGCCTCCTGCTTCCCCTCACTCCTGCTTGCTTTGCCGCTGCCCCCGTTCCCCTTTTCTTCCCTGCTAGTTACCCCTCCCCGCTTCATTAATTCCCGATGCAATTGCCTCTTTGAGACCTTTTTTTCCTCTCCTTCCTTTTAGATTGGCCAACGGCTCCTTTCAACCCTGCCTCGTTGGTGGCCACTGGAGAAGCGCGGGGGGCTCCCCAGGCAGCCGTGGGGACAAGTTAGAGCCAGCGCTTTACCCCGGGCCTCGCGTGTAGCTTCCTGTCCCTCGTTCTAGGTGCCCCAGTGTCTGGAGGGAGGTGTGGGAGTGTGCCCTCCTTACATGTTCTACCACCCCAGCCACCCTCTAGGGTCCTGTTCCACCTCGCTCTTGCTTCCTGCACAGTGGTCAAGAGGAACCACTTCATATCATGTCCCGGTACAGCTACCAAAGTCTCCTGGACTGGCTCTATGGGGGCGTGGACCCCAGTTTTGCAGGCAATGGGGGCCCGGACTGTGCTGCCTTCCTCTCGTGGCAGCAGCGGCTGCTGGAAAGTGTGGTGGTCCTCACCCTGGCCCTGTTGGAGATCCTGGTGGCTCTGCGGTTCATCCTGAGGCAGACGAAGGATGGTAGGGGTGGCCGTGGCAGCCAGCCACAGCAGGTGACCCAGCGGCCAGAGGAAGGCAAGGAGAGCCTGAGCAAGAATCTGCTCTTAGTAGCCCTGTGCCTGACCTTCGGGGTGGAGGTGGGCTTTAAGTTCGCCACCAGGACCGTCATCTACCTGCTCAACCCCTGTCACCTGGTCACCATGATGCATGTGAGTCTGTTGACTTTTTCCTGGGCAGCCTAAGTGATAAGAGTCATTTGTGTGCTCAGGACACCAGTAGTGTAAAGCGCCCCATCCCTGTGGGAAGTGGGATCCTTAAAAATAATTTTCCAATGTGTGGCTGTTTGTGCCAATTTCAAATTTGGGTTTTTTCACTTTTTCATGATGCATCAGCCTCACAGTGGAGGCGAGGAACCTTGTGCCCAAACCCTAGAAATGACTGGCACTCAGGCTAGCCGCCCCTCCCTTCCCAACCCTGCCCTGGCCTGGCCTGCCTTTCACAAGCAGGAAGTCCAGCCCCAGCCAGGTGCCCTTTCTGAATCATATCTGTGGTCCATGGCCCAGCCCTCTTGCCTTTTGCAGTAATTTCTCTGGGGCCTGGTGACACTCTTTCCTGGAGGTGGTCACATAAGATTCCTTGTCTCCACTGTGGTACTTTTGGGGAAATACGTTTATGGGTTTCTCTTAATGACTCTTTCATTTGGGAATTTATGCTCTGGGGAAGAGATATGTCTTTGAATTCTGAGTTCCTGCAACAGCCATAAGCTCCTACTAGGTGCTCTCAAAACCGGGCTCAGGCTGACTCATTGGATCTGTGATCTCCATCAATGGTGAGACAGTATCTACTTTTTGCATCTTATAACTCATTTTGTCTCCTGTGATCATGGTCCACTGGTGCTCAAAGAGCTGATTGTTTTTTTTACCTGCCCAGTTTGTACACATTAAGAATGCAAATGGGATCGAATAGGAAAATTGCCAGGTACATAAAAATAATCTGAGTGGAGATCAAGAACGAGACACTTTCTGTACTCAGCTGTACAGAGAGATGTTCTGGTTTTTTTTTTTTTTTTTTTTTTTTTTGTCTTTCTGAGACAAGGTCTCACTCTGCAGTTCAGGCTGGCCTTGAACTCACTTTTTTAGTTCAGTCTGCCCTCGAACTCACAGTGATCTTCCTGCTTCAGTCTCCAGAGTGCTGGAATTACAAGTGTGTACCACCACATCCGGCTAGAGAGATGTTGTGAAGCTGTAAGATCATGGAAGAGGAAGAGGAAGGGGAGAAGGGGAAAGCAGTCATTTAGATTTCGGGTTGTGGAAAGCCTGGTGTGTTTTTAGGGGCAGTTTGGAAACCTGTCATTTAATATCTTTATTGTTTTTATATTTGTAGATGGTTATTCTTTTTTATTATTTATTTATTTATTTTTGTCTTTTTGAGACAGGATTTCGCTCTGCAGTTCAGGCTGGCCTTGAGCTCACTTTGTAGTCCAGGCTGGTCTGGAACTTGCAAAGATCCTCCCGCCTCAACCTCCTGAGTGCTGGGATTACAGGGAGTGCTGGGATTACAGGCGTGTGCTAACACGCCCGGCTATAGATGGTTATTCTTAAGAGACTTATGACAACCCTGTATGGGGCAAGAGGTTGAGAGTATTGTTTTCCATTTTATGGCCCTGGCAGGGCTCTGGGATGGAAGGTCACTTGCCTATAGTCAAAAGATGAATTAGCATCTGGGATGGAAGACAAACCCACCCATTTTTAGAGTTGCAAGCTGTCAATCCCAAGGTGGGGGCGGCAGTGAGTGGTGGGGCAGACCTATGGGAAGGCCCAAGCAGATGAGCATGATGCTTACTTGCTAGCTCTGTGTTCTTAGGAACTCCTTTGATTGTACGCCTCTTTCCCCATGTGTAAAATGTGAATGACCTGTGGCCCATTGCTGTCTTGCACATGTGGCAAAGAGGTGTGGTAAGCTGTGTAATAAGGAGGCTATTAGTGATTGGGTGGCTGAAACATGGAATGGAGCATTTTTTTCAGAGAGGACTTTTTGGGAAATGATGCCATTCACAGGAAGTCCAGGGCTGTCCCAGCTAGACCTTCTGTGTAAATTTGAGCCAGTCCTCTTTCTTTCTTTTCTGAATGGGCTTTTTGTTAATGAGAGGAAACAACACATCTCAGCTACTGCTGTGTGAGGCTGTCAGGACAGGAGTGCTTTTTTAGGATGGCAGGTGTTGAGGGTCAGAGTGTGCCTCTTCTACAAAGGGGTCTTCAGGTCTCTGGCAACCACATATCAAGAAGGTCAACAAAGGACTAAATTCAGCCTCACTGGGCCTGCTGCTCATATGATGTCAAACCTGGCAGTAGCATGGGTTTTAGATGGAAGATATTTAGAGGTTTTTGGAAGACTCAGTAGACCTAGTTTTGGCATGTGTTAGTTGTATGGCTTTGGGGAAAGGACTTTTCCTGGGCCTCAGTTTGTTCATCCGTTTGTTTGTTTATTTTTTGTCTTTTTGAGACAGGGTCTCCCTACGCACTTCAGACTGGCCTTGACCTCACTTTGTAGCCCAGGCTGGTCTTGAACGCACAAGGATCCTCCCCAGGCATGTGCAACACCATGCCCAGTGCTTACCTGTAAAATGAGAGAGTTGCACTCGTAGCTCTTGACAGTCTATGTTCTATGATTCTTTTCTCCATAAGTAGTAGGTGGGGGTGCAACACCGAGCTGTTCGGAAAGGCTTTTGACCTCCTTGTGCATTTAAAGGAAACTAGTTTCTTCTCTGTTGATCTCAGGGTAACCAATCTATTTTTCGTCTTTTCCTCCATGTGTCTTCCTTTTTGAAGTAAACTCAACCAGATCGCCCTTGGGGACACATAGCGGATGATGGCGCCTGAGGAAGAGATGGATGTTTGGGGACTATGTTCTGAATCCTGTCACCTGTGATCTTTCTAATGTTTTTCACTTAAACTCTGAGGCTATAGGGTGGGGGCAGAGAACAGAGCCATGCTGAGGAATTTTTTGAGTCCCACCAGGATTCTACTCCTTTGCTATTTACCCCTAAGTCACTGCTTTGTATCATTTAAGTGGTAAGCTCTGGCCTCTTAGTGCACATAGGCTTTGATGAATCCAACTTTCCATACTTCCTTTGTAGCTGTTCTCCAGAACCAGGGATATATAGATTTTTAAAAAGTTAATGTGAGTTTTTTTAAAATAGTAGCATACGGTAAGAAACAATTTTCTGACTTGATTGCAACAATGACTAACGATAACATGTAAAGTTAATAATAACTTACATTTACCTAGGACTTGATTGCTTATAAGGGACTGTCATGTACATTATCTTGTTTAGGGTTATGGTAAATCAGTTTAGGCCTAGATGAATAAATGTCAAAATGTTTCCTGTGACTATCTGTTTCTAAAGAGGAGACACTGTGTATAAAAAATGCTTTGGCAAGTAAATTATCTTAATTAGTCTATACTGTAGCAGAACATTCTAAGGAGTTTAGAAGTCCTGATAAGGAAAGGGAGATATTAGCTGAAATGAAAGGACTATCTTAGTGAGAGACATTTCTGATGTGTCTCCCCCAACTGGATGATTGAGTTTTGGCTTTGCAGAAATGCCTTCTTCCTCAGAGTCAGTGTAAGTTTATAACAAGGGCAATATTGCTTTAGGCCAGGAAGTAGAGGAGTTGCAGGAAAACTGATTAGTTCTCCCATCTCCCCTTTTTCAGTCTGTGAAAAATTCATTCTAAATGCCTTGTTACACAGACCCTTGTCATAGCCATGCTGCCTTTGGGTGACTGCCAACTGTAGTAGCATAAGGAAGGGCAGTACTTGTGTGTGAATTACTCTGTTTTTGATTACTAGTCCTGCTGTTGGGTTTCTTTTTGGTCTTATCTAATTTCTTAGAGGTCCTGGGACTGTAGATAGGTAGTAATTCAGTAGACAGTAGGACTGAAGTATCACCATCTCACAGTTCAGCTCTGGCCTGAAATGTTTAAGGGTTCTCAAGATCAGCAAGCACCAAGGTTAGTACACCACTATTAAACCCCTTGCTAAATACCAGTGGTGAGACTATCTGTTATATCAGTAAGTTTTTCTTTGAGTGTGGCCAGTCAATCCTCTTTTCCCTGTGATTTTGGCAGGTATGGGTGACAGGAATGAATTTACTGTGTGATGGTGCTGTTTACTAAAAATCTTCCAGCAAGTCATTGGCAGAAGTGGTTTTTATATGTGAGCTGCAACAGTGGGAATCAGGGCTTAGCAGGAAGATATTCTCATAGCTATCAAAGTCTTCAAAATCTGCAATTTCTCAGCAGAAGGGTTAAAATGCTAGTTCGGCTGATTGTAAAGATTGATGATCTTCACTTAGTAGCACTTTTATCTTCCTTGAATCCAGTTATGTTGCGTTTGTTTGAAGAATTCAATGCCTATATCGCATTTTGGATGTCTTGTTTAATTGTCCAATTCCTGTCTGTTCTGTGTATCTGTACCAACATCTAGTTAAGTATAAACTTAGTAGTCACAGTATATACCATTTAACCTTCATTGTCTATTCACATAAAATAGTGTGCATTCAGGCTGAAGATTTGGCAAATAATAATTGATGCTATTGACCAGTTAGCTAAAAGCCACTGATACTTGACAGTAATACCGAGCCCCATTCCTTTTTACAGTTGCCATTGCTATCTTTCTGTCTATAATATATGAGAAGTTTGATATCCACCAAATACAGCTCACCTGGTATGAGTTCATTGGCTTCTGCTATCCTTGTTAAAAGGGTAGAATGGCAAATACTCAAAAAATCTTGAGCTACTGGTGACACTTTTTGTAATTCACTGAATACGCAGTGATGAATTCCAGTTACTATGTGATGAATTTGTTTTAGAGAAAACCTGGTGTAATTGAGAACTAAGCTTTCTATTTTTCCCCCTTGACTTCAGACCAGACACACCTCCTCATTCCCCATCTGTTGTCTGGAGTGCTGATTACTGTTCCTGCTTGGAATTGCTGTTGGTGGGTAATGGGTACAATGAGGGATCCAGCCATCTGCTGAAAATTTATCAGATGGACTGTGTCCTGTGTCATCATTCCAGGGGGCCTCAAGAAGATGATGTTTATATGGGCCTCAGCAGTGAGGCATGACATTCCTCTTTACCTCACTTTATTTCTGACCCCAAAGGAAATTTGCAGAGAATTTCCCCATCTTTCATCGCTGCAGTCT